GAATGATAAAAGGGTTGGAACACTTTCCCTATGAGGAAAGGTTAAAGCGCTTAGGGCTCTTTAGCTTGGAGAAACGACGACTGAGGGGTGACATGATTGAGGTTTATAAGATTATGCATGGGAAAGAGCAGGTAGAGAAAGAGGTACTTTTCTCCCTTTTTCACAATACAAGAACTCGTGGGCACTCCATGAAATTGCTGAGTGGTTGGGTTAGAACGGATAAAAAGAAGTACTTCTTCACCCACAGAGTGATTAACACATGGAATTCACTGCCACAGGAAGTGGTGGCAGCTACAAGCATGGACAGCTTCAAAAGGGAATTAGATAAGCATATGGAGCAGAGGTCCATCAGTGGCTATTAGCCACAAGGTATAGATAGGGACTCTGGGGCAAGTGATGCTCTGTCTTCTTGGTGCTTGGGGGGGGTCAACAGTGGGAGGGCTTCTAATGTCCTGGCCCCACTGGTGGACCTCCTGATGACACTGGTATTTCTAGCCACTGTGTGACACAGAGTGAGGGACTGGATGGGCCTTTGGCCTGATCCAACATTGGCGTCTCTTATGTTCTCTTATGTTCTTATGTTAAAAGCAGACTAGCAGAACACATTCATTTATTCCCTCCAAACTATGAACTCCTCTCCCCTGCTGGGGTGTGGGAGTTAAGTGGACTCAGGGCATGAAAGGAAGAGATGTTCTGCCAGGCTTTTGGTTGAGGACAGCAATGGGGGTACCATCTTACCTGGCACGCCCTTCCCCTCCCCCACCTTGCTCTTCGCGCTTATTGCAAGACAGTAATACATATTGTATGTTTATTTGATGGCACCTGATGTTAGTTTAACCATTTTAACTTGTATAGTTTTTAAATTGTACAGTTTCTGTTGCTAACCACCCTGAGCTCTGTGAATTCAGAGAAGGGCGGTATATAAATCTAAATTATAAATAAATGAACTGAGCCACTCTGTCTCTTTGCTCACACTGAGTAGAGGGGCTTAGCTACTGGGTGCTTTGGCTGAGGACCCATATTTTGATTGTGAACTCCTCTCTCCTGCTGGGGTGTGGGTGTTAGGTGAACTCAGGGCTCTGAGCCACCCCATCTCTCTGCTCACTCCAAGTGGTAGGGCTTAGTTACTGAGTGCCTTGGCTGAGAACCCACATTTTATACCCTACTGTTTGTGAACTCATCTCACTTTCTTGGGTTTCAATGTTAGGTGGTCTGAGGCTCTGAGCTACCCCATCTCTCTGCTCATGCCAAGCAGAGGGGCTTAGCTACTGGGTGTCTTGGCTGAGAACCCACATTTTATACCCTCCTAATTGTGAAGTCCTTTCTCCTGCTGGGGTTTGGGTGTTAGGTGGACTCTGGGCTCTGAGTCATCCCATCTATCTGGTCACTCCAAGTGGTAGGGCTTAGCTACTGGGTGCTTTGGGGTCAGAGGCTAAACAGAACAACTTGGTAATGCCCACTTGCAGCCTCTCTGCCAAGGCCCTGACCTGTGGGAGAACAGCCAGCTTCAATGTGGAGGCCAGCATCCAGTCCAGCATTTGAATCAGAAGGATGACTTACCCCAGGCTGACCATATGGGCACACAGCACATCAGTAGTGTCCTGGAAGGCCTTAAGGACATGCACCATTTGTGAGAAGGTTAGCCAGTTGTTGGAGCTGATGCTGAGGTCCTCTTCCTCATGCAGGATTCTCATGGAAGAGATGACATCCTGTGCCACACTCTTCTGCTCCACCAAATGTGCAATCGTGTTATAGGTAGAGTTCCTCATCCCCCCTCCCCTCACTTCTAACGCAGCAGACAGGCAAACTTGATGCTGCATGAGAGGCGAGCAGCCAGGAGCCAGCAGGTCTCAAGCAAGTACTGTATCTCAAGGGGGGCAGCATCTCAGTGGCCTTGACAGTGCTCCCCAGCCCCAGAGCATCCTTCACCACCAGATGAATCATGTGTACCAGGCAGACAATGCCCTTGAGGTGCACACGCTTCAACTCTGCCAGGATGTTGGAGCTGGAGTCCATGACCATGTATCCATGGATGATGTTGCCACCGTCCTCACAGTCCCTCAGGCTACTCTGTATCACGGCAGTGATGTTTTGCACTGTGTGGTCTTCATCCATCCTCTGCACATGGAGTACAACCACTTTGTAGCCCAGTGGCAGGAGTGTCCCCTCATAGGGCCTGGGTCATGCCCCAACAGTGTCAGTATTCTATGTATAGTTAAGTCATGCTGTAGATCATAGGCATCTAACTGACAGGAGCTAAGTGTCATGAGAGCTGGCTCTGACCGGTTCTAGCTGGCTACTGCTAGAGCTAATTAGCACTGTGTAACAGTGACTCAGCATTGGCTCTGATTGGCCAATGGTTGTATATATTCAGTGATGTACAGAACTGTTCATTCCTTCTTGGAATGCGAGCGCAGCGGAGCATTACGTCACTCAGTGTAAAGATTTGGATGTGGCTTTGTATAATAAAATGTAAAATACTTGTACATAAGCCTGAAAGACTCCAGTCTTTATTGGATCACCTTGCACCCGTGTTTGGTCTGCTGTGGGCTAACACCGCGCAACACTGACAAACAGTCCTGCTGCCTGCTCCAGAGGTCTGCCGTGAAGTGCATGGTTCTGCCTTACACTCTGGAGAGCTAAGCCTTGACCTCCACTGCAGCCGGCAAAAGGCTACGTCCTCCATGAGGGAGAAGGGTTGGCCATCCACAGCAATCATCTCATTGACAGGATGAGTGACTTCTTCCTGGGCCCTCCATGTAGCCCTTTTGACCTCCTGAAGGGTGGCCCACCTTGACGTCCCACCCACAGCATCCCGAGTGTGGGGAGCCCTTCTTGGAGGGGCCTCCTGCTCCCTCTCCTGGCTGAGAGGGAGTGGGCCTCTTCTTCCTCCTGCTGACTGCCACTCTTTCCTCTGGCAGCAACATAGTTGGGTGCACCCTTTGCAGGTGCCTACGGAGGAGGACGTGTGGGGTTTGTGCCCCTCCAGACATGGGTATGGCACAACTGCCACTCTGCCATACAGGGGTTACCAGGGAGGGTGCAGAAATGTTTCCAAATAGTGGGCTTCCCCCCCACTCTGAATCACTGCTGTCAGAGTCCTCCTCTCCAGAGAGTGTTAGCAACAGCTGGTGTCTCTGGGCAGTGCTAACAGCTCTTTCGCCTCTGTGGAGAGTCCCAGGAACAGGTCAGGGAAAGGAGGCTCAAAGACCCCTGGTGATGCCCTGCTAGGCCTGGACCTGTGGTACACAGGGGGTGGAGAACTTCTTCCTTCCATGGCAAGCACCATTTGCACCCACTTTCACCCTCACGGCACACAGAGGTGTTCAGGAATTTGAAGCAAGCAGAGGACTGGCTTTTAACACTTTGCAATGCACAAATCAAATTTTGTAGTACTGGGAGCAATCTTGAGAGTTTGCTTCCAAAGCCACTCCTCTGCTTCCCTTGCTTGTGTGTTGTGGCTAGGGTGCCTGCCAAATTATTAGGGGTTACTTTGGAGAGCCCCTGTCAGAATACCTTATTGGTATTTTGGGGTATATTTTGGCATCCCAAAGATATCTGGAATCTTTCAGGAAACTGGGGAAAAACCTCCCGAAAAAATCCTGGATATATTCGGGGTAGGTTTGAAAAACAGCAGAGAGGCCAGAGCACATTGCTCTGGTCAGGCTTTCTGTAGTCCTTTTAAAGTTTAAAGGGACTAAAATTTTAAAGGGACTAAAGAAGCCAACCCGAGGATCAGCTGAGCCAGCTGGAAGCAGAGCGCTCCTGGCCAGGTCAGCTTAGGCTGGCTTCTCCTGCAGCCCCATTTAAATGAGGCTGCAAGAGAAGCCAGCCCTCAGATCAGCTGAGCTCATGGGGAGACTGGTCATCTTTTTTTTTGGCTGTCTTCTGCAGTTTCTTTAAAAAAGCAACCTTGATTAAATGGACTGCAGTAGAAAGCCCAAAAAACCAGCTGACTGGGGGAATGATCTGCTCCGCTTGTCAGTTGTGTTTTTTTTTTTCCCCGGCTTTGCCGCCACTTTTTAAAACCCTTTTTCTTTCTTTCTCGGGTCTATTGGACACAGGGAAAAAAATCTGAATTGCTGAAAAAAACAAGATCCAAATACAATTTTGGTATTGGGATCCAGGATTTTAAGGAAATCTTGAAAAAAAAATTAGACTCCTGTAACTGCTGCTGTCTTTTCCAGAGACAGCACTGGGATACCTTTTTTGGGGGGGGGGTTTCTATAACTGCGACCCCAGAAATGTAATCCACCCCCAACTTGGAGAGACTGTAGAGGAGCAAGTGACAGGGTGAGGTTCCTTGTGCATTTGGTAAATGTAGCTTGCATTCTATACACTTTTGAACCTGCTCCTGTCATTTTTCCTGGGGGCAACTTCTTTGGGGGGTCATAACTCAAAACTCCTAAGTATAATCTGCACATAACTTGGAGACCATGTAGAGGAGCTTCAGAGAGAGGCCCCCTGCAAGTTTTATGCCTCTAGCTTGCACAGGGTTCATTCTATACACTCCTGAATCTCCTGACTCTGCGCCTGTCACTTCTCCAGAAAGCACTCTCCTGGGGGCACCTTCTTTGGGGGCTGTAACTAGGACCCATAAGTCCAATCCTCACCAAACTTGGAAGGCAGGTAGAAGAGAGTCAGCCAGATATCACCTTTGAGTTTGGTATCTCTAGCATGCCAGGGGGCATTCTACCACATCAGGAACCCCATGAACTGAACCGGTTTGTTTAGCCCTTAAAGTCCATGATGGTCCATGGATTGCAAACCGGGCACGTCAATGAACCACAAACCAAACTGTCTTTTCCCAGCTCATGCCCATCCCTGTTCCTTACAAATGTGTGGAGGAGTCAGTGAGGCAGCATGGACAAGAATAAGCACAAGAACCAAGACTGATGGAAACCGAAGGTATGTTAGAACAGAGGGGAGTCATTAGGAAGGAAATGAAATGAAATCATTTAATGAAAATCAAATATTCCAGTTTTACATGATTTGGTGTGAAGAGAAGCAAGGTGGGTGCTTAAGGCAATCCTGCTGTTGTTTTTCAACTGAAATATTGAAGTGCCTGGAGTTATATACAGAGCAAGATTAAATGTAAATATTGAAAGCGATACTCTGAAAAGAGACTATATAATTCCTCTATATATTCATCGTCGCTGCTCTTACTGCTCTTACTGTGGCCATCTAGTCCTCCACTGCTGTGGACGTTTGGTTTCAGGTTATCAATGTACGTCTGACTTCATCCAGTTTGCTCTCAAAGTCATCCAGGCGATTATTCAGTGACTTAACTGTTTTCCAAGAGAAAAGGCTTTTGATAAGTAAGAAGGAACCACTGCGGGCTCATATTTGTACATACCAAGGCAGACCACTTACATTTTGTGTTGACTAGGTCCTTGATCTCTTGCAGGATCACAAATACCCTCTCCTCAGTGGAATCAGTCTGTGTTGGGGGGACATCAGTCTCTTGCTCCTGACCAGAAACCTCTATAAAATGGGAGAGAAAAGACAGCGAATAAGAATGAATGCAGAGTGTGGTCACATGGCTGAACTGAACAGAATATCTTCAAACTATTTATAAGAATTAGAATCATAGAATCATAGACTTGGATCTCAAGGGTCATCTAGTCCAACCCCCTGCAGAATGTAGGAAATTCACAAATACATCCCCCACCCCCACCCCCAGAAACCACTGTTCCATGCCCAGAAAATGACAAAAACCCTCCAGGATCTCCAGCCAGACTGGGCTGAAAAATATTGCTTCCTGACCCCAAAGCGGCAATCAGCATTTCCCTGGGCATGTAAGAAAAGGCCACAAGAACTAAGCACTGATGCAACCCTATCTAGTCCATCTAGTTCAGCATTTTGTTTCACATAGTTACCCTGGGACAACAAACGGCATAGAGATGAAACCCTTCCCTTGATGTTGTTTCCTACAATCAGGTTACAAAGGTTTGCTGCCTCTGAATATGGAGGTTCCCTTAACTCATCATAGCTAATAGCCTTTGATGGACCTCTCCTCCATGAATCTGTCTAACCCCCTTTTAAAGCCATCTATTCTTGTTGCCATCACTACTAATTAATTCATGGACTTTGCTCCTGCAGGAAGTAGTTGTGGGCACCACCTTAGCAATAAAGGGAATTAGACCAATTCAGAGGAAGGTGTTCCAATGGCTACTAGCCATGATGGATAAATGGAACTTCCATGTTAAAGGCAATAAACCTCTGAATACCAATGCATGGGCGGCAGTAACAGCAGGGAGGCCTTGGCCTTCTGGGAGCAATTGGTGACCACTGGATGAAATAGGATGCTAGAACAGATGGACCCTGGTCTACCCCAACAGAGCTGCACTTTTGGTCCTATGGAGTGCAAATGGATCTGGAACTTCTAAGGCTGCAGTCACACTGACCTCTTACCGCGACTTGCTCCTGCTGTTGGTTTATCCGCGACTTTTAAAATCATATTAAAAATGGTTACACATCCCTCTTGAATCGCCCGGTGCACTGTTCAGACAGCCACGCCACCCAAGTGGCAGTGTGGGATTTAAAAAAAAAAAATCATTTGCACATGTGCAAGGGTTATGATGTGCATGACTGCACATGCGCATAATGAGTGTCGCCGGGGGGGGGGGAGAAAAACCAAATCGCAGTCATTGCGAGATGGCAGTCCAGATAGGGGAAAGTGCAGAATCGCAGTGGGAAAACCCCCCAAAGTACTCGTTTTTCCGGGTGTAGGAAAATGCCGGAGAGGACTAGGAGCATTGTGCAAGTGAGCCTGCTTCGGGGTGAGAGGTGGATCAGCCTGTCTAGACAGCGATTTTAAAAACGGTAGGAAACAGCAGTGAAACCCGATCAAAAGGACCGTGTGACCGCAGCCTAAGAGTGTCCATTCCCTCATAAGGAAAAAAGATGGTACCAGAAGCAGCACAGAGTTGCAAAATTGGGTTGGTACTAGGGTTGCTAGTCCCCAGTTGGGGCAGGGGATCCCCCGGTTTTGCAGGCTCCTGCTCACTGCCAGCCAGCTGACCAGTGGAAGCCCCCCCCCCCCCAATGTGGAGCAACATGCCTACATCACCCAGAAGTGACATAGGCACTTCAGTGCTTGGGGGGGTGACACTGGTTTTTGGGCAAAACTTCATGGTTTGAGAGCAATTTTACCATAGAGTTTTGCCCCAAACCCAGAACGTCGCCCCCAACGTGCCTACGTCACTTCCAAGTGACATAGGCACAGCACACAACATCACTTCTGGTGATGCCAGAATGTCAGGGGTGATGTTTCCGGCTCCCGGAGCATCCCCCGTCCCCCCCACTGGTGTCTTGAAGGGACCTGGCAATCCGAATTGGTACAAAATTGGGCTGGGTCTAAATGAACTAACACCCACTAGCCAAGTTTGTTAATTAATTTTTTTCATGTTCTGCAATGCTATGGCAAAAGGTAGCTTTTGTCAGTTACAGATTTGTACTCAGCTGACATACAGGCCTCCCCACCCAGTAACAACACAGCATCAATGTAAGGCAGCACATCTCTAGAGGAAGGGGTAGTGCACTCATGCTACTGTGTTGTTGTTTTTTAAGAGAAGCCCTTTGGGTTCTCTTCAACTAGGTTTATGATTATGCTGCAAATTCTGAACACTTCCCTGAAAGGGAAA